GACGACCTTGGTCACAACAGATGCTCCAATAGCTTTTTCATCTTTATCTATGGCCAATCTAAGTATAAGACTATAGAGACTGTGTGTGATGAATTTTCTGTTACCAAAAAAAGAGACCATCTCTTCTACCTGGAACACTCTTTCCTGTGTCTCTTCCCATTCCCCTCTTGTCTAGCTAACAGTTCTGGTAGGTCTAGATTGAGCTGAAGTATTCTTGGACTGCCCTCTCCCCTCCATTTTCATTAGGAGCTCTTGTTACACTCTTCTTTCAAATGTGTGCAGATTTGGAAAAAATCTGGATAAACCCAGAGAGAACGTATGACTCTGTGGGGTAATTGTTGGTTTTCTGGCCTATCTCCCTAAGGAGGTAACTGGTTCTTTGAGTGCTTGCCCTGGGTGTTCTTCACCTTAGTATCCTCAGGCACACGGCTGTAACAAGTGGATGCTCAGCAGGTGCCCCTGAACAAGTGAGTAAACATGAGTGGTAAGGGGAGTCCCATTGCAGATGCACTAACACGTGTGGTCATCTGGTCTTGGGAGGACTCTCAAAGACTCGTGGGCACTTGCAGACAAAACCTAAGTGCACAGCTGTCTAACTTAGAGGCATAAGACTCATTGGAACCAAAAAATAATTGAGAAGGGAAATAATATTTATCAAGTACCTGTTATGTGCCAAAAATTAATAGATACTTTTCATGTATCACCTAATTTTAGCCTTCAGCAATCTAAGTCAAGAGACTTTCTGTCATCATGTAGAAGAGAAACATCAGGTGTTGGGGAATAGGTGGTTAATAAGGTGTCTACTCTTTTTCCCAGCTCTTACATGATGACACCACATTTCAGCTCATCTCCCACTTCTTCTAAAGTCAGCATGCTTCCTACTATAGCATGTTATTTAGAGGGAGACAAATGCATTGAATTAATCTGTTAAAATACTAGAAATGAAAATCAAATAGCTTTATTTTATAAAATATAATAATGATTATTGAAAATAAACACATATCCTTACATTGAGGTCAAGCTATTTTTCATTAACAAAGTATTCAGAGGCAAAATTTATTCTTGTCAATACTACCCTTGACAAGTCTGCTAAATGATGATTGAAATCTTTGAACAAAGCTTCCAGGATAAAACTTGGAAAACTCAAACTAGGGGGCACTTAGACATCCTATATAATCACCAGAAGTTTTTTGTTTTGAATAAATATCCTGTCACTCTTTTTTCCTGAAAGTTCAAACAGCCAAGAGGTCATGGGATTGTTGATTTCCATACAGGGATTCAACTGCACAAAGGCTTTCTTTTGATTTCAGTGGTCTCACTCATTGGATTGGAAAGCTGGATATCAACTCATTAAGATGTCATGCAATGTTTATGGGTCCAAACTTAGCTCCATGAGACTTGGCAGGAAGTGATGAGGAGTTTTTTAATTTACTTATTTATCTATATTTTTACTGATATGTAGTAGGTGTACATACTTTCAGGATACATGTGATAAATTGATACATTCATATAATCAAATCAGAGTAATTGGGATATCTATCAACTTAAATATTTATCTTTTCTTTATGCTAGGAGCATTTTAATTGTTCTCTTCTAGCTACTTTGAAATGGATGATAGTTTAATGTTAACTATAGTCACTCTGTGGATTTATTCAAATACTAGGTTTTATTTCTTCTGTCTGCCTCTATATTTGTATCCATTAATCAAGAGGAGCTTTTTTTAAAAAAAATGCCCCATTTTTTTCAAATAGACTCTTCATAGACTACAGTTTTTGTTCTACAAATTATTACAATTAGAGTGGGGAAATTTGTTACAGTTCAAAATTTTCTCCAAATATTGTGTTGCAACTAGTTTTGCTTTCTAGCCAATCTTATGCACTTGGGAAGCAAATTATCAGCAAGCACATCTTCAATGAAACATGAACTTTCACTTCCCCATGGAAGATCACTCTTCCACTTCAGAGGACACTCATTGCCCCCAAAGTTAGACATGTGAGGGGTCAAGTCACTACTTTCCAAGTATGGCATTCCATTCAACAATGTATAATACTACTTTAATAAATAAAGCTGATTAAAATAGTATTACATCCTGTGATAAACAACTTTCTTACTCAGAGCAAACAATAATTGATAGTAAATGAGGAAGTGGAAAATGATTTAAATCACTTATTGAATGAGAAATGTAAACAAATAATGAAATTAGATAGAAAAATAGTTAGCTGTTATTTGAAAGCCATCTTTCCTGCAGCCAGCCTACCTAAAGAATTATGTCTAGAGTGATAATTTTTTTTCATTTATTAAAGAAAAACTATTTTCTAAAAAAGAGCTTAAAGAAAAACTATTTTCTTTAAGAAATGAAAAAAATAACCCTCGGATTTCTTTCCCCTTTACTCATGCTTATATAAAAGCTTGTTGGGTGACTGACTAAATGAGATACTGAAAATTTACAAAATAATTTAAACTTAAAATTATGAGGCTACCTTTTTGTAAAAGATATGCACATGAATGAAAATCCACCCTTTGAACTGAGAAGTAATTTTAATAGCTCGTTGAAACTAAAGTCTTACAGCTGTGCTTGGTAAGCCTTTTTTTCTATTCTATTTTTTTTTCTCATGCAAATAAAACCAAGAAAAACATACAGCCATGCAAACCCTACCTCAGACAAGCCTAAGAATGTATTATTTCTCAGAACTCAGTTGGATTTATGGTTATTTAGTGTGGACTCTGCTCTTAGAGGATAAATATAGGAAATAATTTCAAAAGGATAACACTTCCACTTAAAACAAACAAGTTTCTGGCTCTCCGCTTCTCTTACCATGCCCTGGCCCTGGACTTCGCTATTTTATTTCTAATTCTTTTTTTCCCTTCTGTACTTCAGCTCCAGGCTCTAAGTGGATGCTGGGTATGCCATATGTTCTCAGTACACTTTTTGGTATAAATTCATGAGTTCTGGGGCTCCGTATAGTATAGGGAAGTGTAATAAAAGCCTCCTCCTTGCGTCAGACGAAAGTTGCTCCATGATTACTCAGATTTTCCCCTGGCATAAGCCTGACCTCCATTGCTAGGCATTAGCTCTATTCAAGTCACCAGTATATCATGGTATATTGCTTAAACACCAGAGCAGTACACTACAGTAGCCACTCAGTGACTGTGATGGACACACTAGAGCTAAGTCAGATCCCAGCACAACAAACTCAGAACCCCCCTCCACTTTCTCATTAGAGGTGGCAGGAGATTACACTGGAGGGCTTAATTATTAATATGGGACTGGAAAAAAGAATTTCAGGAATCACTCTTTCCCCAACTCCTCTTCCATACTCCCATATACATCACATGCATGTGTACACATGTACACACACACATAAATGTCAGGTGTTTACATACTACAAACAGCCTTGTGGTCAACTGTTACTGGAAAGACCTTGGGTTAAATGGAATGCTGTTTTCTTGTAGCTGTCACCTGATTATCTTCTTTCTTTCCCTGGGGTACAGCCCTAAAGAAATCTCTTCCATTATCGAAAGCCAGGTATCTGTTTGATTAGCATGTTTGCAGATCTGTCACTCTTGGACTAAATCATGGAAATATCAGGTTTAGCCTACTTTTCATATGACCAGTAGCAGGTGGAGTCAGGAAAATCAGGTTGGAGATACCATACGGCAGGCTTCAGCTGGACTTGGCAAATGGGCTCAGTAAGGCTTTAGTGGAACTGGGGTTCAACGGGCAAAGACTGACCAAGGCAGACCCACTGGCAGGGCCAGCAGCATCAGATGGATTGTGGGTTGCTCAGAAACAAGAGTTAGGACCTGATAAGAGAGTGAGGCACACTGGAGCTGAGCCTGGAGTGGGAACACAGAAGCAACTGTGGCAGAAACCATGGCCTGGTTCTAAGGAGGGCTTGCAAATCTTGGGCTGACTTTTGCTGTTTTTCCCACCCAGCATCCACTCTCTCTTCTTGTGATTACAGCACTCTGATTCTGTTGGACCCGCTCCTCCCTCACTATTCTATATGTGGTTCCGGAGAAGCCGACTTTTCCCTAGGATCCAGGGTACAGCTAGGCTAAGCCATTCATTGCATTCCATCCCCTATCCCTGGGATTGGGTCAGGAATGGGCACAGGACCCAAATAAGGCCAACCAGGGGCCAGTGACACTGAATTCCAGAATGATTGAGTAGATGGGAAATTGGACTCAATATCTTTGGCTGGACCCAAAACCCAAAAAAGGTGTAAGGGCTTAATCTGCTGCTACTATCTTATTACCACGTGTACTCTGTCTAAAGTCAACATGGAGGAAGATAGCCTTGTGAAACGGAGGGAGAGAGAAAAACTAAGCCTTAATGGCATTGTTTGACCCCTGACTTCAGTTGAACCTGAAGTCATCAAGTACTATCCTTAGTCTTTACCATTATGTGGTTCAGTAAATTCCATTTTGATTTAAGTACCTGTATTAGTCTGTTCTCATGATGTTAATAAAGACATACCTGAGACTGGGTAATTTATAAAGGAACGAGGTTTAATTGACTCACAGTTCCACATGGCTGGGAAGGCCTCACAATCATGACAGAAGCTGAATGAGGAGCAAAGTCATGTCTTGCATGATGACAGGCAAGAGCTTGTGCAGGGGAACTCCCATTTAAAAAACCATCAGATCTTGTGAGACGTATTCACTACCATAAGAAAAGTATGGAGGAAACCACCCCATGATTCAATTATCTTCACCTGGCCCTGCCCTTGACACGTGGGGATTATTACAACTTGAGGTAAGATTGTGGTGGGGACACAGACAAACCATGTCAGCTTTTTGGGGTTGGGTCTCTTGCCATCTGCAATGAGATGGGTCATTTTCTGATACAGGATTACATAGAATCTCTCTCATTACCAATTTTTAAAATCCATTTTGAGCCAGGGTGGCTTAGGTTCCATAAAAATGCCATAGCTTTACATTTTTTTTTTCTCAAGTGCCCAAAGGTTGTGCTCTCTGGGTAAGAGAACAGGGAGAGGGCTCTTTGGGTAAAGATGGCGGAGCGTGGGTACAGCTTTTCGCTGACTGCGTTCAGCCCATCTGGTGGACTTGCCCAGATTGAATATGCTTTCGCTGCTGTAGCTGGAGGAGCCCCATCAGTGGGAATTAAAGCTGCAAATGGTGTGGTATTAGCAACTGAGAAAAAACAGAAATCCATTCTGTATGATGAGCGAAGTGTACACAAAGTAGAACCAATTACCAAGCATATAGGTTTGCTGTACAGTGGCATGGGCCCAGATTGCAGAGTGCTTGTGCACAGAGCTCGAAAACTAGCTCAACAGTACTATCTTGTGTACCAAGAACCCATTCCCACAGCACAGCTGGTACAGAGAGTAGCTTCTGTGATGCAAGAATATACTCAGTCAGGCGGTGTTTGTCCATTTGGAGTTTCTTTACTTATTTGTGGTTGGAATGAGGGGCGACCATATTTATTTCAATCAGATCCATCTGGAGCATACTTTGCCTGGAAAGCTACAGCAATGGGAAAGAACTATGTAAATGGGAAAACTTTCCTTGAGAAAAGATATAATGAAGATCTGGAACTTGAAGATGCCATTCATACAGCCATTTTAACCCTAAAGGAAAGCTTTGAAGGGCAGATGACAGAGGATAACATAGAAGTTGGAATCTGCAATGAAGCTGGATCTAGGAGGCTTACTCCAACTGAAGTTAAGGATTACTTGGCTGTCATAGCATAACAGTGAAGTGACTGAAAAATCAAGAATTTCAGATAATCTGTCTACTTAAACATGTTTAAAGTGTGTTTTGTTTTGCAGACTTTTTGCATACTTATTTCTACTTGGTTTAAATCAACTTTTTAAAATGACTTATAAATCCTCATAAACTGCTAAACCCACCTCCCAGCCTTTTAGGAGTTGGTAAATTTTAACAGTTATTTCCTGCTTTTTAATCATAGTTGATTTCTGAAGACTACATTGCAAAGCAGAATGATGAAATCACTTTTTTTAGTTGTCAGCCACTTTTGGTTAAGTCAAATCTTACTGCCCTCTTCCCTACCACATGTTGCCTGTGTTTCCATAAAGCAAAATTCTGATTTTGGTAAAAACATCACTGCTTCTAGAAGCTGGAAGGGTCTGCAGACTTTCACGGATTCATGGGACAAGAAAAGCATAGGTGCTTTTAGGTAATGACCGGTGAAATCCTAGGGTGCTCTATGAGATTGTATTGGGGCTATGAAGAGTGGTAAGCTGAATAGGTCTCCATGGGAGATATATTATATAAGTAAATAAACTGGTTTGCTGGTTCCTGTCGGTGTCTCCATCTCAAGTAGGTAAATGTTTTAAAGGAACCCCTTAGGTTTTGTGAGACTTTTTAAACTCAAGGATGAGCATAAGTGTTTGAAATAAAATGTTAATACTTAAGTGTCAAAAAAAAAAAAAAAAAAAAGAGAGAGAGAGAGAACAGGGAGAAGGTATAGGTAAACCTATGACCAGGTTAATGGTATGATCATAAGGATGATGCAGGAAGCCTTCACCCTCTCCTAATCACAGCACTTCTTGGGTAAATGTGGTCCAAGTGATGCTTTCACATGGACAGTTCTGGTATGGGTGGGACCAGCAGTCCTGCAGGATGGCCCAGCACTCAAACTCAGAGATAGGACCATGAACTATCCAAACAGTGAGTGGTTCCTGAACACAGGATCACAAGGACTATGAAGAATAAATGGATTGAAGGAGTAGTCAACCAATCATTGAGAAATTGGTTTCCAGTGGTCACTGAAAGCCTCTGAGACTTCCGTATCTCAAGTATTCTGTAGTCCACTGCAAGTACCACCAGATGGCTGGATTTGTATTGTCTAGACTGTGTGTAGTTTGTGAAGTATAACCAAGTGAATTTCTCTAGATTTTCCAGATTGTCCCATAACCTTTGTCTTAGTGTTTTCTGACCTGGTGTTTCCTGCTGTTTCCTACTCTCACTGCACACAGGTTCAGAGTACACAGGGATGTGCCCCTTTGGCAGTGGTTTCATATAAAAGCTTACCCTGTATTAAGGAAATAGGTAACTTCTCTGCAGGTCCATGTACACTTCAACCCAGGTTAGGAAATAGTGGAGCACTGCTGAGTCCCATCACACTTGACTCAGGTACTTGAGTAGGTTTATTAGGTGGTAGATCAGATTTGTATCTATGATCTTCTTTGCTATTGACTGCTATTGAGTGTCTTAAGCAGTAATATAATCCCCACGGACAGTGTGGGAACTGCCATCCCACTGTGAAGGGCTGGGAGAAGGGCAGTATTTTTGCTGTGGTATCAGTGGGTCAAGTCATAGTGAGCTGGAGCTGAGATAAGGTAGGATGTTGGCCAAAAAAGTCAGAGAGGCAAGAGTGAGGGTGGACAGATTTATTGGCAGAAGTGAGGCCATGGGCTTGCTGTCAGATGGAGGCCCTGACAGGACATGGAGTCTCATTAGACAAAAATCAAGTCCAGGGAGTTGATAGCACAGATCAGGCTTGAATAGCAAGGGGAATTAGGGTTGGAAAAGCAGCAGAAACAGGAGCAAGATCAGAAGCAGAACTGGGATCAGCACCCATAAGTGGACTTATTACTTTGCCAGGACACTGAAGACAGCTGCAGATATGTATTTTCCCTTCACCTGCTTCAGGCATTGTTCTAGCTTTAGAGAGGTAAGCTCTGTGTCTTTCTGTATCTCTTTTCCCCAAAAAACTGTGGGTGCTGCTTATTATTCCCTAACTAGGCCCCTACAGAGCTAATATGGGAAGTTTGGCTCCTCTAGGTACTAGAGAGGGAGCAGTTTTTTCCAAAGCCTGGAATTCCCAGTGGATTCTTCCTATCTACATCCACTTAATCTTGGAATGTGAGTTCTTGAAAATTTGGCGGTTTTTTTTTTTAAGCCTCAAATGTTGCTGTCAGAGAAATCACTTTTATTACTTTGTTTTCTCTGATAACAGGGCTTTTTTTTTTTTTAAGAACATGAAACTTCTCGCTGGCTATTGCTATTTGAGTTTCTTAAGCAGTAATATGATGTATATAATGCTAAACATATTTTAGAATTTGTATCCTTCCTACTTACAATAGAGTTTGAGGTAACCTGAAAAATAAATGTTCATAAACTGAGACTATTGAAATTGAGAAAGAAAATTACAAACTATGCAGAAGAAGAAAAACAAACAGGTTATATTATCTGATATTTCTAAATAAACTAGGTCCTTGGCAGATACAATCTTTTTCCTGGTACTAAAAGGAACATATTGTGTGTGTATGTCCTAATACAAACAGCACAGAACAGCCTCGATAATATCTTCAATAGCAGTTTCAGAGATGATGGAATAGTGTTCGTGATTACAAGCTTTGATGGCATGTTTTATAGGTTCAAATCCCAGCTATGCCAATTTCCAGTTGTGTATCTAGAGAAGTTGCTTAATTTCCCTAGGTGTCAGTTCTTTAATTTGTAAAATGGAGGCAATAGTAGAACCACTTTCATTTCATTGGAGGAAGATTAAATATATAAAGAAATTAAAGTAGTTTGTGACATGTGGTGTTTGCCAATCAAGATATGCTACTGTTCTTGCTGTTTTTTTTGTGTGAATACTCAACAGAGAGGAAGGTTCAATAAAAGACTAGTTCAAGAATTGGCCAAGGGCCTCTACAGATGAGTTTAGAGGCTCTAGGTGAATTATGCTTCATATTCCTCCTCATCCTCCAACTTCTGGGGAAAATTCTTTTATAATCCCTGGCCTCCCCTTTCCCACAGCCAAATTATTTGCACCTCGTACCCTCCCTGCCACCTTCCTGGTCTTGGTCTCCAAGTATAACCGTTCATTGTTTGACTTATGCTTCCTGATGACAGGGATTCCTGTCCTTTGTTCTTTTTACCCTTCCCTTCTTTTATACCTTGTGAAAATTAGCCTTTCCCAAGTACTGACCTCTCAGGAAACTGAAAAATAAACATGATAAATTAATTCAAGTCAAGGTGTTTGTGATTGTTAATCTTGTGTATCAACTTGGCTAGGTTACGGTTTCCAGTTGTTTGGTCAAACACCAGTTTAGATGGTGTTATAAAAGTAGTTTTTAGATGGGATTAACATTTAAATCAGAATTCTTTAAGTAAAGCAGATTACCCTCCGTAATGTGGGTGGGCCTCATTCAATCAGTTGAAGACCTTGAGAGAAGAGACTGAGGTTCTTTCACAGAAGTGGAAGAAGAAGGAAGGAAATTCTGCTTCCACATTGCCTTTGGACTCAAGACTATACCATCAATTCCTGCTGGAATTCCCAGCCTGCTTGTGTGCCCTGTGAATTTCTGACTTGCCAGTCCCCACAATTACATAAGCCAATTTTATAAAATAAATCCTCCTGCATATATATACCTCCTATTGGTTCTGTTTCTCTGGAGCACCTTAATACAGTGTTAATACTTATCATGGCTAAATGTCTTATTTTCCTTGCATTTTAATAAGGGCTCAGCTTTAAAAAGTGAGTGATGTGAACATTTCTAAACACCATTAGAGATCCAGTTCCCAGTGGAGGGGTACTTCCTAGTGACTTTGAAATCACTTCATATAAGCAGTGTTCTGTCCATGAGAAGGGCTCTGGGCTAGCTCATATTTGGATTTATTTCCTCCTCCCCTGAAGCTGTGCATGGCACACGTAGAAACAACTTTAGCTATTGGTGCATACCACACACATTTCTTTTAGTCTGAGTTAATGTTTGGGAATCACATATAAATAAAAATAGCCTTGGTGTTGCTCTGTGCATCCGCTTGGAGTGTTGGTGTAATTCACCTATTCATCATAAACATCATAACAGCAAGGTAAACATGAATCACTGTTTCCTTAACAGTCTGAAAGGAAACAAAATCAATTTTTTCTCTGAAACTTCCTGGAGGAAAGCCAATCTTCTACCCATTACATTAGGGCAGAAAAATCAATCAGTCTAAAGTCAAAGTCTTTTTCTTTTTTAGCTATTCATGTGAAAGACTGTCATCAATAAATCCTCCAGAGTCATCATTGTTCTTACAAGGGTAATAATATTGCATCCTTTCGGAAATGGGGGGACAATGATAATGTAAGGGCAAGGTGGACTTTGGAAAAGAAATGAGCTCCACCTGACATGTGATAAAATACCAAATGGTTTTGGTTTCTACAATGCAGACCATTATTATGGGGATTTTTTTTTCTCTGCGTGAAAATCTTGAAAATTTATATCCATTGATAGAACATAGTTACTATATTTCTTTTTTATTGTCAGTGTGTTGACAATCACTTATTCTTATCCATTTTCACTCACTCGCCGGCTCTTCTTTCTGATTTTTGGTCTGCCTCGTGAGATCATGTATACCATAAACTGCAAGAAGCAGAGGTTGTAATTCTCGTGATCTTGTAACAGAAACAGAGCACCCAAGAAGTATTCTCTACAAAAATGAAGAAGGAAGTCTGCAGCAGAACAATGGCAGAAATTTTAGGAAAAGTTTACTGACTGGGACTATGACTAACCTTTTGGGAGAAAGTGTAACTAGCCCTTTGTGAGGGCTGGTTGAGAGCTCACTTTCCTGGGAGGAGTGGGGAGAATCAGAGAATCAGCTGATGAAGAGGTGAAGGAGGTGCCCAACAAGAAAAGTGTAGAAGGACCAGGGATTTGGGGTCAGGTCTTCCTCCTGATTCCAAGAGATGGCATAAGATATTGCCAAGTGGAGGAAGCAAAGTAGAGCCAGAGAAGGAAGGTGACCTGTTGTTTCATTAGAAATAATATATTGGGATAATTATGCAGAGTACTAATTAGCATATTTCTCTCCAACCCCCGATACTCCAAAAATCCCTGTACTTACATCCTGAAGGCCTCTTCTTCCCCAAGCTGGAAGACACGGTCACTTATTTGTCACCCACTGCCACAGGAGTAACAGATACTACAAACATTGAACAGGACAGAAGTGAGAGTCTAGCATCTGGATGCAGACGCACCCGAGAGGACACGAGTCTTCCCAGCTCTCATGGACTTCGCAACAGATGCACGGAGTGAGGTGGGGAGGAGGTGAGGGAGGACAGTGCAGAATGCCACCATCTGTAGCAAGGCACTTCCTTGTCAAGAGCTGAAAGCTTGGCAGATGCTGAGTAGCCATTGACTACTTGTCATTCTTGCTGCTGTCTTGTGGATAACTTCCATTCTTTGACTCAGTTATGCATAAGTGTGATGTGAAGGTGGGGATCTGTGTAGTGAAAAGACGGGTCTAGGCTAGGGTTGCTAGACCCTGGCAGTATTGATATTTTCAGCTAGATAATTGTGGGGGGCTGACCTGCGCATTGTAGGATGTTTAGTAACAGATGAAATCTGTCTACTAGATGCTCTATCAGCAGCACTAGCACCCTAGTTATAGCAACCCCAAATGTTTCCAGACATTGCCAGATGTCCCCTGG